GAATGAAGGTGGGTAGACCTTGCAAGATATTAGCGACAAAGAGGATCCAAAACGCCGAGGAATAGACAAAGGAAGTCTCGATCGGAGGCGGTGGAGCGCTGGATATCGGCAATCGTGATTTCATGTACGGGAAGGCAGGCAATATGAAAACTGCGAAGGCGACGGCCTGGTGGTGGGTTAATTACGCTAATTGAGTGACAAGTTCAACACAACAGCTGGCTACTTACGAGTGACAGCAAAGTGACTTTATGCCCGTATTTGCGGAGCAAAACCTCGACTATAAACGGGACAACAACTCCACCGACTCCTGCAGAAGGATGAGTTTGACTACAACCGCTGAGCCAATCACGAACCGGTTCCAGAAAAAATAATGCCGTTTGCCTGGCAGAGTTTGAGAAACGTTCCAACCATACAAAAAAAGTTCCACTAACGAGCCCCTTTCTTTCGTGGAACCATTCGAATAGGTAGGTCATAACGGGAAAATACAGGAAGCCTAGGTTGAATGGTGAGCAGAGCAAATCCACCATAGATGTACGTACTTCCACCGAGGGCGTAGATGACTCCTTGCGTCAGGACCAGTTGCCACGGCTGGGTCGCAAACGCTGCCCCAATCAACCCTGTCACGCAGAATACGACGCCCAGCGCCATGATGGATTTCTTCAGTGCGGGATATCGAGCAATGAGGGGAAGAACCATCCAGGAAGCCATGTAGATGATGCCTGTGGATGTTGACCCAACCAGAGCCAGTATGGAGGACGACGCGTCTGGGAAAACATGGGCTTTGTAGTGTTCAAGGAAGACGCCATAAGAGAAAGGGTATGACCTATGCGAGTGGTTTCCTTCTAGCCCAACACGACGGGGAGTCAAAAATCACGAACCAGACGAGAAGCTCAACAACCCAAGCGCTCTGGACGAAATCAACCTCAGCCCGATCCACCGTCAAGTCGACGACATACCATTAGATACGCCATGGCGTGAAATCCGCGGTCCTAAGACGACGTTAGTGCTATACATTGGTCGTTGAAAAGCAAATCAACCGTAGGTGGGAGGCAAACCTCATCCGAAGTCGTGCTATTGTCTGAGGATGGGGTCACTGAGACGATTTGGATTTCCACTTCTGTCTTGGCCATCTGAGGGGAAGCGACAAATTGTGCTGTGTCCCATTTTCAAATCTTATGAATCAAAATAGACGGACTTGGAGGTACATGCTTGACTCCCCGTAGGCGGACCGACTATCATTTGGACGAGTCAAGATCTCCAGATGAAGCTTGTCAAGGAAAACCGGAATTTGCGACATGTGGGTTGGTTCAGATTACTTGTTCCGATTGACAAATTCAGCACAGAGCCTTGTTTCGGGTCTCACAGTCGATTCTTCTCCGGGGTATTTTCTAACTGCCATCCACTGAAACCAAGGGTTTGTGTTCCCGAAAGGAAAGTCCGCTTCCTCATTCGATACGTCGGAGTGGCACCCTTCAGACAACCCGACGGGGAGCATACCGACGATGCAGATACTACTTCGGAGCTGGGAGGATATGGCCAGGGCAGGTAACGGCGCTTTGAAGTTTTAATGCGTCCGAGTTAAGCGCCTCCGCCATGGCCGAGGATATTTGATAGGCCCCATAGAACTTCGAGGTCTGCACCCTCATGGCGGACAGGGACCCACTCGCGCACTTCAGGTTGGTCCTCTACGATATCATTGTCCATCTGGTACCTTGATTATTTGTTGCGGGAGTCCAGTACTTGGTAAAGATATAGATGGAGTATGGGGTGGAAATCCTTGAAAATCGGACTCGGCGGAGAAAGCCAGAGCCTAGAGGGGTTGTGTCTGCGTCGAGACTCGAAAGCCGAGGTGAGATCAAGGTTGAGGGAGCGGCATATGCTATCTTGACTATCCGTCGGGTGGAGGTCCAGCGGTGATTAGGCAGGGAACACGGAGTTGAAGACGGACTCTGCGGAGGAAGTCAGCAATGTGTCAGTCGGCGTCGAAAGGTGAAGGTCAGGATCAAGAGGGAAGCGGAACTTGCCGAAATCCGAACACGGCAGTTGCCGACTTGCCTTGGTTTGTTTGCCTTTTCAACCGACAACGAAGGCGCCAACGAGGCGAGCAGGTCGTATACATCTATACATCTCGCTGGTTTTCTTCTTTAGCTTCGAGCTCCTAACATATTGATTCGGACTTGCCAAGGGGCGCATGGATCCCCATTTCAAAGGACGCGACGCCAGATTTGCGAGAAATCTGCGAGGGCGAGGAGTTGAAAGGACACGAGAAACTATGGAACTCAGGATAATAGATATGTAAGTCACGGTACATTAATCCGGGTACAGCTCATATCAACCAGTTAACAAAACAGACCCAAATGGATGAATCGGAGTTGAGCGTACCTTGCCAGGATTGAACAACCCATGCGGATCCATCGTCCGCTTGATTTTCTTCATCAACGCTACCGTACCAGGTCCCAGTTCCTCCGCGAGATATTTCTTCTTGCCAACGCCCACACCGTGCTCTCCGGTGCCTGAAACACGCTCGTCAGAAATTCGAGGAATGCAAGGGAGCAAACAAACAGGTTCCGTCCAAAGCTATCGCTCGCCGTACGAGGCGGTCAACCACTATTTTTGCCACGTCCAACTCTTCTTCTGTCGTGTACAGAAGAAGTGCGTGGAAATTTCCGTCTCCTGCATGACCGCCCATGATGAAAGGAATCTGGGCAGTGATGAGGTCTTGTTTTGTCTCGTATACCAGTTCCGGGAGTTTCGAAACAGGGACGCTGCAATGTATATTCCATCAAAACGCCATACTAGAACACAGGGATATTCGCACCAAACGTCCGTTGACCAGGCTTTTGCTCCAGGCACGGCAGCTATTCCGTAGTGCAACGCACTCTTCCGGTCAGACCAAATGGCCTCTGCTTCGGCGGGATCACTAGCAAGTTTATACCCAGTGCCTCCATTCTTCTCGCAGACAGCTTTGACGATTTTGGCGACCTCCTTCAAGGCAGTCTCGGAGTGTCCTTGGAATCTGAAGAATAGCCCGTCTTTCTCGAGGTATCTTCGCTTCGATGAGCCTGGCGAGAATTATAGTGAGTGCAACGAGAAATGCCAAATGATCGCACCAAATTTATTCAAAGTCGCCATGAAGTTGTCGTCCACCAGTTCGACGCATTCTAGACGCCGAATAAATTCTAAAGCGACATTGCGATTATTTGAGACTCACGGACGCTGGCCCCAACACCGGCGACATCAATGGCCTGTCGCACTGCTTCGGCGGCGGCACTGACATTAGGAAATTGCACAGTTGCAACCGTGGTGGGAAGGACAGGTGCCAGCCTAATCGTGACTAGAATGGAGGCAAGTGCGTCGTCTCAGCGCTCGTGGCTAATCGGTACCTTCCGTAATTATCCCAAGTGTTCCCTACGGTTCTAAGCTTAGCTCAACCACGCTATCCGGCTAAACAACCACTTACCTCTGCACCGATAAACAGTTTCGTGAGATCAAACCCAGCTGACGACTTTCGTGATCGGCGCCGTGTTTTGATAACTTCTCCCGACGGGAGTACTACAGTCTGCGATTCGTGGGGTGAGATAAAGTCAGGTACCGCGGAAACGCGAATTACCAAGTTGAGGAACCATTCCCCTTTGGCTGTCCCATATCGCACGGCGTTCGTTCCGGAGCAGCCAGTACTGACCATGCCACCAATGGTTGCCGTTGGGCCGGGGTCTATCTGCGAAGAGTCAGTTAGCGCTGACGCTGAACAACATGCGTGGCTCGACTGAACTGGAAAGAATAAAGGTATCCCTGGTCGAAGTTTGAATGATGATGGCATAGATGTTGGAAAGTCAACACCGAACCTTTAGTGCGCAATGTTTCGTTGATGGTCATCCACCCGACCCCAGGTTGACATACAAGGTCAGCGTCCGCCTCTGAGGTCTGGTCAGTAATGATACATCTGCGAGTCCAAAAAAAAGCAACCGTGTATGTCGATAATCTGATCCATTTCTGACATGTCGACGCAAATGCAACCAGTGCGAACTCCACCGACTTGGCCTTCCAAGCTCGTGGCGCCAGAATACGGCTGCAATATGGTTGAAACTGGCAAAATAAAATACACAGCAGGTAAACTGCGCACCACTACAGGCATCTTGTATTTGTTCGCGACTTTTACAATCTTGACGACATCTTCCGTGCTCTCGGGATAGACAATTACGCTATGATCCACGCCTGTCGGGTGTGAGACGGAAAATTGAGCGGACCAAAAATGTGTGGGTACCATCGTGGTGATGAAACGACGACTGTCCGTGGATAACAAGATCGGCCGGGTCCGTCGAGACGCCTCCGTCACGGGGCAGAGCCGCCTTCAGTTCCTTTATAGCCAGCTTGAAGTCCTTGGCGCTTCCATACTTCGGGGGTCGCGTGTCTTCCGTTGGGTCAACAGTCGACAGCGCGATACCGTATCCGCCAACCGCCCCGCAGAGAGTCGTCGCGAGAAGGACGGCGAACACACTGCCGTACACACGCGTACTACCGCTGGCAAGAGGAAGTTCTGGAGCCTTTTGCTTGAGCAAAGCGGTAGATTTTAGGCCCCGGGAGAAGAAGGAGGGTGCCGCAGCATTTTTGAATGTGCGTTGGCGAGAAAGTCGATACGCCCAGAGCAGCCGGGATGAGGACATGGAGGTCAAGATCAACCCTGGCGACACGTGCTACTCAACTTCATCAGTTGAATTTTTTTGGGTTACCCGTTGTAGGTGCATCACGGTTCTCTTCGGGTTTCTTTCAAGTCGCGAGGGTGCCACTGCAACAAGGAAATTAAAGTTCGGGAAAAGGAAAGAAACAAAGGGGAATCAAGCCAGGTTCGAACTGGTGGCCGCCGGCACGCACTTGCATAATCGACGCAGGCGCGTAAAGGCGATCGAAATTGAAATTAATAGCCCAACTGCCTTCGTCTCCTCGCCTCTCGGGCCAGCAATTCAAAGCCCAAAAATCTCGAAGCTTCAAAGCGCAAAAAGTGATCCGACCCAGGTTCGAACTGAGGACCGCCTGTGCACCAGCTTACGAAATCAGGTGATTACGTAATGCGCTGTTAGACAGAAGTGATAACCAACTACACCATCGGACCGATGCAAGCCTATTTTTTGAGGGTGCAATCCATTCTGCGATGATGAGAAGAAGGGGGAACGGGCTGGAAAAAAAGCGGAAGTGTCAATCAACTCTCCGATCACTGCTAGATGAACTCGATCGAGACTTTGGACGACCCGACCGTTACAGTGGACCACCTGCGCGTATGTTCTGCTGCAGTAAAAGGTGCATGACGGGCTAACATCCCCAGGTTAAAACCTGCTTTATCTGCTTCGAAGAAGAAAGCGCGCCTAGCACGTCGATTTCTTGACATTAGCTTCAACTCTTACCGTTTCGCAGAACTGGACGCTGTGGGCACGACGAATAACACGAATCCCTGGATCCATCCTTGTCCGAACTGTGGCCTAGTCGCGCACGACAGATGCCTTCTCCGGTGGATAAGCTCCCTCCCGCTGAAACGCGACTCGAAGACACACCAAGATCGTTCAGGCTCCGTCTTTGTGCTGGATACGTTCCGATGTCCTCAATGTCGACGTCCGTATGAACTGGCGCACCGACCGTCGCTAATACACCGTCTTTTGATGGTGTTCGACGCAATCTATGTGCTTGTAGCCGAACTGGGGCAGATTGGGAGCTTGGTCGTGGGCCTGACGACGTTTCAAATGCTCCCTGCCGCGGTTTTCGTTCAAAGCAGAGTGCTCGCATTGGCAGGTCGGTATTTTGTATGTCTCAGGCCGTTGACACTGTTAATGCCCGTTTTCTCTAGGACTGGTCGTCCATGAAATCGCGTTTCTGAGAGTTTACCTGGGCCCACGGTATGTCCCGTATCTCTACGAGACGGCTGCAAAGAAAGACTTACCCGAGTTAGCATGTTCAAGCTCCTCCTCACTGAAAATGCCCGGGATCTCTTTCGCTCCATTTTCATAGTCGCTCCCATGATTCCCTTGAGGATTATGTTCCCTGGGACGTCGCCCAGGTGGATACCGCCTTTATACCTCTCCTTCCCTCTCATTCTACACGGAATGACTAAACTGGTGCCGCCGGAGAGTCGACTTCCCTTGGAGAGCGAAATCCCCACCGCGTCCGGCCCCACGATATCGACTTGGCCGCCCTCCCCCTCCGTGATCGGTTACGTCGGCGCGTGTTTCATAAGTCCCGTGTACAACCACCTATTCTCCCGGTTCAGCGCCTGGGTCCTCGGCGCGCCCCCACCCCACCGCCAGCGGACGTACCTAAACGACCGTCTCGGCGCGCACGCAAAGGCGTTCTTCACCCTCCGACGCGTCCGCCCCCCACGCGCAGCCGTGGAAGGCGCGGATGGCCCCGACGCCGACCCGCCCCCACTCCTCCTCGCGGCGCAGCTCGTCCAAAAGGACCAGAGCTCCTTCACGCACGACGTCGTGCACGCCGTCTGCACCCTCTTCCTCCCGCGCCTCTTCGGCGGGCTCCTCCACGCGGCGTCCGGCCACTCGTCGTACCTGCGCCGCTTCCTCGGTCTGCGCCCCGCGGGGATGCCGCTCAGCAGCGGGGTTATCCCCAATTTCGCGGCGCTGTCGTGGGGGGAGCGGGTCTGGGCTGCGCTCAAGCCGTCTTTTGCGCTGGTTTGTTTGGGCGGGTCGTGGATGTGGACGGACGTCGATCCTGTGTGGTTCGTGTTTCGTCGAGCCGTCTGCTTAAAATCTTATTCCTTCATTCAGGTGGAGGACCTCCCTCGGGTACGGGATGTTCGTTGTGGTGAGCGTGTCCACTGCTACTTACTAGCGCATGCTAATTGATTTAAAGGCGAAAGACTGCGTCGAGCTCTATCGGCTGTGGCTGCAAATGAAGGAGGTGCAGAGCCGGACGATCAAGAGTCGGGACTTTGCGGGCGTAGATGTTTCGGAGCTGGACCTTGTTGCGCCGGAGAGGTTTTCTGCCCGGTAGTGTGTGCGTCTAGATGTCTTGTATTTTTTCTTGTAGCGCGTTGCACCGCCACTTGTCCGATGGTGTAGTTGGTCATCGTATCGCTAACAGCGCCCCCGCGCCCTTGTCTAACAGTGTAGTCGGTCATCGAGAATATTAATCCGTGTGTGCTTTCATTCCAAGAAGCAATCTATGCATATGCGTCTATTGTACCTTCGCCTTCGTCGCCCCGCGCACGACCTCCGCCTCCGCGCGGATGCCCTCCGCCTCGACCTCGGCCATGAGCTTCCGCTCCATCTTATCGCGTTCCTCCTCGGACGCGCCCTTCATCGCGTTCTTGGCGGCCTTGACGCGCGCGCTGTACTCGCGGTACTTTGTGTCCGTCCCGAGCAGGCGGTCCCACCACCGGAAGGACGTGCTGAAGTTGTTGGTGAACGCCATGTGGTGGAAGTCGTGGTGCTCCGCGCCGGACCAGAAGGGGATGATGTGCTGCAGGGACCAGGGGAAGTCTGCGCGCGCGTTAGTATCGTGCGCGAGTGAAAAATAAAAAGGGACACACCATAACCGCTGTGCGCGTCGATAGCCTGGAAGAGACGGAGCGTGATCCAGATGTACATCGAGTAGATGTGCAAATCGCCCGTGACCGCCGCCCACAGAAGCGGCCCACCAATCGTACCCGTGCCCAAGATAGCAACCTCCGCGGGGTGCGCGTACTCCGCGGCGAGCCCGAACGGCGCCGAGTACTTGTGGTGGATTTTGTGGATGTGCTTGTACAGCGGGCCGTAGTGCAGCGCCTGGTGCGCAAAGTAGTGGAACATGTCCTCGAAGACGAAGAAGAAGGCGACTTGGGGGCCCCATTCGCGGAAGGTGGGCAGGGGGACGTCGTAGGTGCGCATGCCGAACATCTCGGCCATGGGGTGGAAGAGCCAGATCTGCAGCGGTTGGGTTAGAACTCGTACATTTAGACTGCGGGCAGAGGAAGAAAGAAAGACACATCACATCCAACTGGGGGTGCGATTCGTGCATCCAGTGGGCATTTGCGTCAAAGGATGGCTATCCGTGGATCCCAGCACCTTGGGGACGCGCCCGGACAGCGTGGGCCTTTCCTTTGGGCACCCATGCTCATTGGCGTGACATTTCAAACCAAATGCAAGACGGGTGCGTATATCGCACCAAAATTTGGATGCACCATTGCAAAGACGAGAAAAGAGACCAACTCACCACAGGGAGCTCGACCATAAAGTGGGAGAACAGGACCTGCTTCGTGCACTCCCATTGCTCCTTCCCGGTGGGTACCTTCGCTGCCTGGAGCTTCCAGCGGCGGAAGTAAGGTATCGCGTCGATTATCACCCAGGGAATGGAGCGGCCAAAGTAGACGATCTAGGACAGGTGAATTGCGGTTCCTTGGACGCAAACTGTGGCGCGCACCTCATGCACGAGAAAGCTCATCAAGCCCGTCGCGAGAATGGGGTTGCCAATGTAGATGTACCAGGCCATCCATTGCTGCTCGATCCATGAGAGGGAGGCATAGTCGACGGAGGAATCGTAGAAGGACGCGCTGGTCGCGTTATGCATGGTGGTCGGGAGAGAAAGAGAGACACCCACGGCTGTCGCTTGACACGCTCCGCAAAAAAAGTCACCCGATTCCAAAACACACCACTTTTATTTTTTGTTTTCACGCGAACACGTGACCATGGTTCCTTTACTGCAACCGCCATGTCGAAACATTGCAAAGAACATTTAACGCGTCGAACCGTCCTTCAAGCTCACCTTGCCTCCTTGGAATGAGCTGCGGTCCTGGGAATCGGCCAAAATCGAATAAGCCCAAATGCCAACAAAATGCTGCGGAAACTTGGCGAAAACCTAGGCTACAACTGCAGGCCCTTGTGGGGACGTTGCTTGCAAGAATGCTCGCTAGGAATCGAAGATTAGAAGACTCAGCTGGTACTTCGTCGAAGGTTCAAACTGGCTATAATCGCGCCTTCGACGTCCTGCTTCGATTCAGACGGTGACCGCTCGCTATTGCGGGCCGCTTTTGGATCTCTGTCGAGCTCCAGCCGCTATCTCTGGTCTCTCTGCCGGTGCTGTATTACTGACGCGCAAGCACCTCTCCGATTTTCAGGCGCGCTCAAGAGCATTTGTTTGCATCGTTGCTTCTTGAAAATTTGTCAAATCGGAAAGAAAACACCCCGCTGGACAGACTCAAACTGCTCATCGTCCTTTTCTGAATCTTCACGATATTGGCGCAACTCAGCCTGGGGCTTCGATCGCTGTGAACGTTTCCATACGTCCTAAACTGCTTCCGATCCTCAATACCTGCTTTTAGCGGGGGTGTGCTGACCATGGCGGCCGGGAATCTCTGGGACCAACGGAGAGAGACCGACAACGGTCCAATTCTCCCCTGCTCCGAAGAGCACTATGGGAGCCCCCAAAACCATTGGCATACACTCAAGTCCTCGCTCAAGGGACATGGGTTCTTAACTTTTCATTCCCTCCTTTCCGACCGTGACCGAGGCACGCACTTCATCGTCCCGATAATCCGCAAAGGACCGAAAACAGAACAAAAAGACTTCCGATTCTCGTACACACCCGTTTCCTCCCACCCTCCCGGTCACCGCCACTTCTCCTTCGGTCAGGACCTCGGGCTACCCCGGGTAGGATCAGCGACCGGCCTCTCAGCTGCGCAATCCATCGACGGGAATAGTCTCCGGGTCGTTTGGTGACACCCGCCGTGGAGTCTCGCGTCGGATGGGCTTGGATGGAGACGGTGTCTCCGTAAATACACGCACGGCATGTACTTCGCAGAAGAAGATTTCCAGCGAGAGTTCATGCCTTTCTGAGCTGCCAGACTCCTTCCTGCTTTGCTCGCTCAACTGGGTTTTTATCTCTAAAAGTACAATGACAAGGTGGACAATACGATAGCAGTAAGTATACAGAACGCACGGCACACGCGCTACGCGACGGCGCCGCCGATGACTATCCCGGCGCCCTCGAGCATATGCCGCAACGACTTGTCGGCATGCAGCGCCTGCAGCTGGTCGGAGCCGCCCAGGGACTTGCCGCGGATGACAATGTTGGGGAACGTCCCGTGGCGCGTTAGGCGCGTGAGGACCGACTTGACCTGCGTGGCGTCGTCTG